TGGAAGTCTGGTTTTGAGACTTATTTATGTGTTTTCTCATTTCGACTGGGGGGGGGGCTGTTGGCACCTGCACAGATTACCTCCTCTGACCTGGGAGAAGTGGGACAGGGGCCGGGAACAGTGGTAGGGATGATGGCCCAAAAGCCCTTTCCTCTGGGCTGGGAGCAGGGGGAGGGATGGTGGCCAGGAAGCCCCTTCCTCTGGGCCAGGAATGGCGGGACAGAAGGTGGCCCAAAAGCCCCTTCTTCTGGGCTCTGTTTCTTCTTTCTCCTTCCATGTTGTAAAATATTCTTAAAATACATACTTACATGGTTCTTAATTCATCATTTTAATACACCTTCTATTTACTTCTTGGTATAGTAAAGGAGGACTTATCCTCCTCAGTCCCATCCCACATTCCCACCCACACCCACAGCCTCTCCATCTTTCCCACAACCTCCCCATAAAGGTAGGATTTTTGCTTAAACAAATCAGAACTTTATATTTTTATGACAATGTAAGGCTTCCTCATTTATGAGTTAAATGGTATATATATTTTTTTCACAATTTTAAAAATTAACCTGACATAAAAATTGCCTCACTATAAAACTGTTCTCAGTGTTTCATGCATATATCATTAATTCACAACCTACAACAGAATTGTAAAGTCTTTCTGAATGTTACTTTCCATTGCTCTAGTTGCTAAGGGTCCCTAGGGCCTCTGGTGTCGAAGGCTTCCTCCTCAGCCTACTGCTATTGGGAGGTTGTGGAACCTTAAGAGGCAAAGCCTGATGGGGGTCCTTAGCTCACTGGGGGACGCCCCCAAAGGGCATTGTGAGAGCCTCTTCTTCCCCTTCTTTGCTTCCTGGCTTATGAGGTGGGCAGTTTGTTCCACCACTCTCTCTGCCATTGCCATCCAGCACTCCCGACAGAGGGCCAGAGCAATGTCAGCTTGGTCTTGAACTGGAACTCCAGAACTGTAAACCAAAATGCCCTTTTCTCTTTAAAAGTGAGTTCTTTCAGCTGTTCCATTATAGTGATGGAAAGCTGAATAATGCACACATAGTCAAACACATTAGCGAATCTGTCAGGTCCACTTCTCCTCTTTCACTGCCCCTCTGAGTTGTGCCTTCTGGAGTCTTTTCTCTGTTAGTGCTGCCTCACAGCTGACCTCCTAGAGTCAACCTCTAAGTATCTCTTCTCTTGAACTTCCTGTTTCCTGAGTCTCATATCCTCCTCTTTTTCTTGATTTATTCCAGTTATTAAAGCAAATTCTATACTACCTTCATGGAAAAGGGTAAATGAGATAAGTGTTTTGAGATCTTGTACATCCAAATATGTCTCTTCTAGGCTTATATTCGATTGATAGTGTGGTTAGTTATCTAACATAGAGGATTATATTACTTTAGAATTTTGAAGTCCACTGTCTTTCAATTTCTAGCAAGATATTGCTGTCAAGAGAGCAGATATATTAGTGTGTTTCATCTATGACATGTAACTAAAAGCCACAACACTGTTCTTTGTGTTAACTGAGCCCTGCTGTCTATAAGTGGAACATCTGGCCAGAGCACTTTCCCACACACTGATGCCTGGTGCTCTAATGTTCTGTCTCCTTTCTTTCTCTTATGTCCCCTTCTTTTTCTTTGCTTTCTCCAACATTTTTTTTCTTTTCTTTACCTTAAGAGATTCAGTATATGTGATGTATAAGGAATGATTGAAAACCACGGTGAAGTTTTAATTTTAAAAATTACTATAGTAAAAGACACATTGCCATCAGTCCCCCCAAGTTAATTCTCACACTTCAAACACACTTATCCCATTGTCCTTGCCACTTTCTGAAGCAGTTCTGGAATTCTTCTTTTTGAATATCTTTAGTTGAGTTGTCCTGGCTCCCCCAATGTCCTGAATCCATCAAAACATCTATCTTTCTTGGTCCTTTTTACATTTGAGGAAGAGCCAGAAATCACATGGTGCCAGATTTGGAGAATAAGATGGAAGAGGACACACTATAATGTTTTTATGAACCTGCCTTTCCACTGGATGGCACTCAGTAGCAGCATTCACTGCATTTAAAAAAAAAAAATCACACCTGTTAAAGACACTCAGGAAAGATTTCCAGAACCATTTCAGAAAGTAGAAAGAAGGATGGGGTCAGTGTGTTTGAGGTAAGGGTGAGTATTTTGAAGGGGACTAATAATGTGTCCTCCACTGTAATACTTAAAAAAACCTGAAATATCCACATCTACTATGATCCCTCCTCGTACTGCTTACTTTTATGTTCATTGTGTTTCTTATATCCTCTACCTTGTATGAAAGGGATAGGAGGGAAGGTAGAAATTGGGAATGAAGTACATGTGTATTGTGAGTCTAGATCAAACACCAAGGAGATCTGCCCAAGTTGACAAAATGAAAACCTGACAAAAAGTGGAAAATCAACCAAGAGAGAAGAACTAGACTGATTGCCTAGATACTTATTATTAAAATATTTTTTAAAATTCTACCTTTCTTGGCAATAATCACTTCAATTTTGAATATTTGTTCATTTTACAGTTGAACACCCTGGGCTTCCATATGATGGCCCATTTTGACACAGACATTTTAATACCTATCCTCATATTCATCTTTGCTAGGTGGTCATTCCTACTCCTACCCTAGTGGGTGTCTTTTGCTAGTCCTTTCTATAACTTTTGCTCCTGGTATTCCAATTCTCATAGTCTTCTTTTGTCATCTAGAAGATATGAGGTCTAGATGTGGTTCCTGCTTATAGACCTGCATGGACTCCCTGGAAAATGATCCTCTGCTCCTTAAATGCAAGATACTACTCAAACCTCTAGGATGATTCTGGACCATGAGTGTAGGATTAGATGATCATATCCAATTTTTGTGGAGAAACAATTATTTTTATATTAAATCCATGCATGGTTATAGTATGTCAAAGAATCCAAAAACCCATAGTTTCAGGGATATTTTATATCTTTAACTCAGCTTCCAGAGCTGAGATAAATCTTAGCTATCTGTGCCTTTAGAGTAGGCTAGTTAAAAAAAAACAAAACTGAAGCAACAGCTGCTTGATAAATGGTTCAGGTCTTAGCTAGAAAGGAGATATAATTAGCAAATTCATGGTTAGACAGAAAATTTTCTCTATGTGGTAGCTGATTCAGGTTAATTCTACTCTTACCAAATCTGGAGAGAACACAATATACTTAACTCTTAATTCTTAATTGTAAATAGTCTTTAAGAGAGAGAAAGAAAGACTTAATAAAAGCAAATATAATAAAATAAATATAATATAATAAAAGTAAGGTTATGGTGTGGAGAAGGAAACAGAGAATTAAAGGTGATGGGATAAGGTGGGCAAATTTTACCACTGCTGTGACTGATGACCCCCTCAAGTTGGAAGAGAACCTGGGAGGAAGGTTAGCTACCAGAGGCTTCAGGTGTACCTTTAAGTGTCCCATAGAGCTCTTGTAGACTTCTGTTTTTTATTGTGTACTCTTCTTCTGCCAAATGAAGGTGTGGAAGACTATCAATGAGCTCGTCTTCTGTTCCTTTGCTAATTTTCATTTCCTTAACAATTAAATCCTTTAAAGAAAATAAAGCTAGTTGAGAAGTGGTTTTGGAGAATTTACCCAACAATTGAGTAGAATGGAAGGGGAGAGTTTTGTCTTCTATCCTGAGGGGCACAGAATAGAGTCTGGCACACACTTAATGTTCAGTCAATAGTCATTGTTTGACTCACTTGATTGTCTGGCAATCTGTAATGGAAAAAGGTTAGATTCAATCAACTTTCCAAAGATCCTTTCAGTTCTATATCTCGATTCCTACATTTCTATTGCTACCATGTAGACAACCAAAAACATACTTGAGGAAAATTTTCCTTGGTTGATCATATTTTATGAAAAAGGCACCAAAACAAAGCATACAAGATTTTAAAAATGTGGATGTCAATGAAAACAGGGTGGGGATAGAAATAACTAGATATACTATTACAATAAAAAGGTTATATCATCACCTTATAAGGTGTGGTTTTGTTGTGTTCTTCAGACCTGCAGCCTCTTGGCCTCTTCACGGCCTGGCCCCACCTCTTTCCCCAGCATTCCTGTCCTAGTTCATCCAGCCTGCCTTTTGGCAGCTCCCAAGTCAGCACAATGCCCTCTTTGTAACGAGGATTGCGACTGACTCTCTACTCTCTTGTATCCCACTGCCGTCTCAACTGTCTCAAGCCGGCTCCCAGTGGCCTTCCCAGTGTCCCTGGCCACTATCTACAACACTGATCTGCAGCTCTGCATAGTGTGGAAGTGTGTGACTTATATTTTTATATAAAAATATTTCTTGTTCTATTTGTATTCCTTTTTCAGGTAAAGAAGAGGAAAGATTTACAATAAAATTGTAGCCTTGTCCATACTGGAAGAATTTTTTTGCACCTAACTGGTCAGAGAAACATGAAATATTGTTCCTCTCCCCACTATGTGGTCATCCCAGACTATTCTTAGATGTAAAATAAAAATTACCTCATATATGCTTAACTCATAAATTAAGTTTTTTTCTCTGATTACAAATTCCTCCTCTTCTTTTAATTGTGCTGTAACTTTTTCAATCTGTATCACAAATTCATCGATCTCCATTTCTCTAAGTTTGGTCTAATTAAAAAAATGAGGATTTTTATAAATTTATCTTGTGGTCGTCAGCCTTACATTCTCAAACAGGTAAATTGATATATCCTTGCATACATTGCTTGTGATTTCAGGTTATGTGATTTCTCGGGAACTTCTGAGAAGGATTTCTTTTTTCTCTCCAGAAATTAAGTTCTTCACCAAATGCTATGTATAAATGAGGGATGGGAGGGGAGGAAGATAGTGGGTAGAGGAAGGGAAGACATGGAGTAACCAGTGATCCTTAGTCTCATATTTTTAGAGGGAGCTCCCTTAAAGACTAGTATCAGGGCTGTGGATTTAGCTCAGTTGTTCCAGCACCTGCCTTATAAGCGCAAGGTCCCCAGTTCGATCCCCAGTACCAAAAAAAAAAAAAAAAAGACTAACATCAAATGCATTTCTGGTTACAGGCTTTAAAAACATGCTGGAGAGAACTGCTATTTAAATTGCTAAATACTTCTAGTAATATACAGCAAATGATGCATTTCTGAAAAAAGTTAAACAATTCATTCTAAATTTGAAATCAGCAGAAAAGAAAATAGCTTTTTAATGAATATAGTTTAATCAAATATTGAAAGAGGATCACTGATACACAATGCAAGCATGTAGAGTAATTCTCAATATCAGGGCGGATTCCCTTACCTCTTCCAGTAATTCATTTCATCTCTGTTCTGCATGCTCAATTTTACCTGCAATTACTTGTATTTTGGTCTTTTTCTGGGCTAACCATCATGCATGCTGTTTTCTCAAACAAGCTAGTTTCCACTGAGTTATGATGCTAGAGATTAGAACAAAAAGAATTACAATTAAATTGACACAGCAGTTTAACAAAACGATGAAGGAATTCAAAGCAAAGCGAGTCCTACTATAATTTTACAAAATCTCTGGTGCCATTGGTGATGCAGACTACACATAACTGAAACAAAAGAACAAAACATTAACTGTGACCTCAATGGTGTCTCTACTAGTTGCTTTCCAGTGAGACCCTGGGGACAAACCATAGTGGGTAGGAGCTCACCTTCTCCAGGTGAAGGATGGACATAGGGAGTGCTTGGGGGCAGGTAGAGAAAAGAAGCAGAGGTAGAAATACTAATGAAATTATCCAAATTGCCCTAAGTGCTAGTAAGAAATTTCAAGCTTGCAGGTTGTCAATGTTTTCTCTCCAGCACAACATAAAAAAGCTATATATTAGGAAGATGGTTTAAAAATGTGCAATTAGTCTTATGAATAGTAACCTTAAAATGCACTAGTAGTAAGTGCTTCCTTGGTGCACTTGATCTGAATACACAGATCATCTCTCCGACATTGACCATAACTTCACAAGGGGGTTCCTGCTACCATTCTCTACTTCAGAGGGGTGGAAGCAAAGAGAAAGCAGTAACTGAGGCTCTGTAGCACAGAGTAACCAGCGCAGTCCATACGTGGAGACTGTGGTGGTCACCATTCTCCTCCATCACCACCCGCGTGGCCCCACTCACCCGCCCATCGGTTCACACAGAAGCCTGGGTGAGCGACAGGCACTGCATGAGCACCGGCAAGTCCAATTTCTGGTGACTCTGTTCTATTGAAATGGAAATCTTTGGGTTTGTTCAGTGCCCAAAAATCAAGCTATCAAACACACCTAGATCTGAGAAAACTCACACAATTTTATATTTCGGAAAATCATTCCCGTGGGCTCCAGATAACATATACTATAAAATAACACAAACGATTTTTTTTTTTTTACCATCTCTGATTTTCTCTTTCCAGGTTATCACTCAGAATTTCTATTTGTTTTTGATATACTTCTTTTCTTGATGTAAAAACAAGAAAAACAGATTAGATTTTGCATTTGTGGGAGCTTTTAGAATATACGAGAGACCATTTATTCGTAATTCTTATGCTCAAAAGGCTACAGTGAAACTAGAAGACAAAATAAGCCTTGTGAAACAACTGAAGATTTCAGTGGCAGATTTACTGAAGGACAATTACAGCTCTGGGGCAGAGCAAACTAATGCTATAAGCCTTGAGGTGCTTATAAGCCAAGATTGGGGAAAAGATTCTGGGGAAGCAATTGAGGAAAGGTCCCTGGAGGTCAACGGCATAAAGAGAAGAAAATGGATTGCCAGGAAGGTTGTCATCACTGACAGAGGCAGAGGAAAGAAAAAAGTCAGGACTGTGTCCTCATAGAAGGCAGGCGTGCAGCACACAGAGGGTACAGAGGGAAAAGTAATATTGTGCCACAGGGGGATGGAGGCTCAGTAAATTGCTGAGGACTCTGGATACTGCATTAAGTTTTAATTTGATACAATACAGATTTCAGAAAGCCAAGATAGAGTTTTGAGTGAGGGGAAAGTAGTAATTAAGGATGGATGATTTTCTTGCGATAAGATGGATGGAAATGTGAACATAGATAAGAGCAGTCTTCATTTTTATTCTCTCTTCCCCCATGCACACAAATGAATAGAAAGCCACATAAGTAAAATGCTATTTTGTATCTTCTGAAAGCTAGAAATACTCATAAATGAGACTTACAATATGAAATGCAGTTATGTAAAGTGTTGAAGGCCAGAAATATCCATAGATGAAACAGAACAAAATGCTGTCAAAGGAACTAGAAACACAACTGTGCTGTTTCTTTCTCTGTTTGAAATCATAGTGTGGCATGGGTAGCAGACATCTCTGCCCAGTATTAGAGGCTGCAAGCTTCTTGCCCTTTCATAATTCGGCTATATTACATTAAAAGTAACAGGGGCTTGCTGAGTTCACTTCCAGCCAAGGTCAACTGGACTCCAACTAAATTCTTCCCCTCTGAATTAACCATTTGTTCTCTTCAGTAAACATTTGCCGGTGCCCTGCCTATGATACTTGTTATCAGCAGGTGTCCCAAGGCCTGCTCAGCTCCCCTCCTTCCCAAGCTTGTAATGAATAAACACTGAAAAACAATTTTAAAGATGATAATTATCTCTTCACCTTTGACCTAATGATTTAGCTTTTAGGATTTATTGTACAGAAATAGTCATATAGATAGGCAGAGCTGTCTATCTGGATGTTCTTGGGGTCTTGGTCTTTGCTGCACAGAGCAGCTTAGATGAGCCCAAGACCCAGCTTCTCTCAAGTCTCTGTGTCTGTGTCTTTCGTTTTCTTGCTTTCCTATCTCTTGGACATGGTCGTACTGTCTCAGAAGATTGAGATCCACAGCCGAGGTTTTGGATATTGTCTCTTATAGGTATGGTGTGGGAAATTGTAGAATTCAGCTATCTAGTTGTAAGAATTGATCACAAGAAGTTTGTTAACTGAGAAAATTAAGTCATTTCTGGGAAATTCCACAAGTCTGTTTGTTAAAAGAATGCCAGAAAACTTTAAGAGACATTGTAAAAGTCTCACGGGAGAAAAACAGGTTTTCCTAGTTTTCCTATTTACCATTTTCTGGGATCAGAGGCCTGCGACCCAATGACTCTACCGGTGGTAAGAGAGATACAACTCACTATGCACATCTGTTATGTTTGTGGTGGGCCAGTGAGCTTGATTTTGGCTAAAGCCGTCCTGCTCTTTTGATACTATCTGATAAGAAGAGGGCTGCGGTGTGCTCTTTGAGGTACAGGATTGGTGAACGGAAACAGGGGACTTGTGAATTTGCCTGTAGCTTTTATGAGTCACTCAAAGTCATTTGTCACCAGAGGTTAAAATCAGAAAGACGATAGCCAGAATAACTAAGCTGCTTTCCTCCATGTATAACAGCCTTGCTTCTTCCCTTTGTGATGGTCGAATAGTGCAGAGGAATAAACTGCTATTTGTCCCCCAGGCTGTCTCCTTTTCTTTCTTTAAAAGCCGATGCTTTCTGGGGTTCCAGGTCTCCCTCTAGAGAGACCACCAACAGTATGGGCTTTCAGTTTTCTACCAAGAAAAACCCTATGCCCTCACCTAGATAGCTAAGAGTTTTTACAATTTTCCCTTTAATGATTTTGTGTATTTATATGCTTAATATACTCACAAAGGGTCTGAAACAGTTTAAAATAAAGCAACTGTAATATCACCATACACTAAACTGAGATAAAAGTGGATTAAAGATCTAAATATTAAGACAGAAACACTAAACTTGCTGGAAGATAAGTTAGGTAGACCTCTTGAAGACATTGGGATAGGAAAAGACTTCATGAACAAAACCTCAGTAGCACGGGAGCTAGCAGAAAGAATCAACAACTGGGATCTCATCTTATTAAAAACCTTCTGCACTGCAAAAGAAACCACCAACAGAGCTAAGAAACAACCTACAATGTGGGAAAAATTTTTTAGCAGCGGCACCTCAGGCAAAGAACTACTATCTAGAATATATAAAGAACTGAAAAAAACAGACCCTCCAAATTCAAAGACACAATTCAAAAACGGGCATCTGAAATGAACAGACATTTCTCAGACAAAGAAGTAAAAGCAGCAAACAAATATATGAAAAAATGTTCAACATCACTG